CGTAACCCTTCTCCACGCATCGATCCGAGCATGTAAGCCGCGACTCACAGCAAAAGAAAGAGAGGGAGAGCGGAAGTAATGAAGTGCAAGAAGAAAAATATAGTTACAATGGCGCCCGCCCAAAAATTGGAGTTACACACACGATTAAGGGTCTCACTAATCAGAGTACCGTTGCAGCCGCATGAAAAAGCGCGTAGACAAAAGGCGCAGCGCGACAGAAAAGTCCTAATTACTGAATTCCTAAATTCCTATCTAATGCGGAAAAGAAAAAAACATTCATTCCAGAAAGAAGGTCCAAAATTCCGAGAGTCATCGGGGCTCGACAAAATTCAAAAAAGATTCAAAATAAAATTCAAAAGAACGAAGCAATTTCCCGCGCAAAGTCCGCGCCCAAAGGATCGAACCCGAAATGAAAGAAGCAACGTCAACATTTATTAATCGCGCGCGTGGTGGCGCGCCAGACATCCATCCGACCAATCTCCCAACCGGCCATCCCCGGACACACCCACCCCCGAAGAAGCGACGAAAAAGACGAAGAAGGAAGGGTATTAATGCAATTTTCCACCGATCCTGATTTCCCGGAAGTGGCCCAATCTTCCCAGCTTAGGACCCCTCGTTGCAACCGCGCAGAAAATCACGCGTTACAGAAAGTGGTTCGTCACATATGTGACGCCCAGGGGGTTCCAATATTAGCAAGCTCCTGCTTGCTTGTTGACACGTGTCGATTTCTCTAATCGATCGACACGCGGAGCAATTCTCTGTATGCCACTTACCGTTCGATTGCGTGTGGACGTCATCCAACGTGGCAACTCTGCTCTTCTACCAGTTCCTCAGATTGGGCTCTCGACGATTCAAGGACGGGATCTTTCTCGTGCCGTCGCCGCGACACGCGTCCATTACCTGCTGCATCAGTAATTAACGGGGAAGGGGAAGGGAAGTCGATACATGGCGGCATGGCCGGGTGGAGGGTTTATGGGCAGCGGGGGCAGGAGACTTTCCATTCCAGATACAGTCTCCGGGAGTTCTTGGTAACGAACAATGCGATGGAAACGGGGGAATTGATTGCCAGTGCGAGGGAGGGACGCGAGACAGTCGGGGTAGAGGGTGGTAAAGGTTGGGAAGAGCACCGCGCGGAAACGATCTCGATCTTCGCATGCGGGGATGGTCCCTGTTATCACGCAATAGACCTCAATCATATTGTGGCCTCGCCACGCGGCATAGAGAAGCAAGATATGGAGGCAAAAGGCCGGGCCGGCGCACCGGAGGGAGGGATGGGGATGCACTACGACAGCGAGGCGAGCGGCGTAGAAGTGGCGAAAGGTACTGCGGGGGAACGGGTTGGAGGGAACGTGACGGGGGTGATGAGCTGGCGAAGGGTGAGGTAGTCAAGGGGACGACGAGAGAGTGATCAAGGACGAAGGCCGATCGCCCGTATCGGTACGTCGGCGAACTGGGGGATGGGTTGGGGAGGAGGGGGATCGACTTCGTCGCCGTGCCGATGGGGCCGGAGTCGTGGCCGCGAGGTCGTCATCTTCAAGTCGGGGCGGCTCCGGATCTCGGTTCGGGTCGTCACAGATCTGCAGACTCGCCGTGCTTGCGAGTTCTTACTCCGTCTTCCCGACTGTGATCTCTTCTCTTTTACGAGCTTCCTTGGGATCTTCTGCCTTTGTTCCTGTGCGCAACGCTTCTTCCGGCACGGCTTCCCACTCCGATCCAGCAGATTCTTCTTCGTGCCCTTCTTCTCCTTCGCTGCTTCTTCTTCTTCTTCGCTTGGCTTCCCCTCGCTATGCTCGCTATAACTTCCTTCTCCGGGGGTTTCGTCTTCTTCCCCGAATATTTCGTCGCTTTCCCCACTTTCTTCCCGTTCGTCTTCTCCTTCGTCCCTCTCAGTGCTTTCTTCCTCCTCTTCCTCCTCTCGAATGGTAGCAAGCTGTTTTGCCATTGGATGCCTGAAGAAAGCAGGATTGCAAACCGTCCGGGGATCCAAATACTGCTGCTGTGACGGCGGGATGTGCTCTGCGGCTCCCTCCACACAAGCAGACCACTGGAAATACGGCGTCAACGTGCGAGAAAGCACGTGAGGAATCGGGTGCTCGTCATCCTGCGAGATGATGTCGAGAGGGAGATCGTCCGCCAACTGCGCTATCGGAATCGTGAGCTCTTGCGTTATAAGTTCCTAATGGTCGGACCGTAGTGTACTGAATAGGAACGCGAGGAACTCTCCCTCCACGTTGGTGCGCCAGGCCTGGATAAACAGCAACTCCAGTCGCTCTATGCAAGGCGGGTGTGCTTCACCCTCGGTCCACGTCAGTCGTACTTCAACCAAGCACAGGTTAAGCTCCATAAAGTCTTCGCCCCATAGTTCCCAGTGTGGGGGATGAATGTCGGGGACAGCAAGGGTCGTTAGAGAGTAGGAAAGGCGAGGATGGATATCGGACTACCAGAAGGTGGGGAAGGTGGAGGGGAGATCAAATACGGAGATCAGAGAGAGACTCATTGGGGGCGAGGGAAGGGAACAACTACAGGGAGAACCGCCGGCGGATCACGCTGGTACATCCGAAGGCCGTCGTATTCGATTCCTCGTGTTGCCGCGACCGTGTCCCCGGGATGAGCCAAAAGCTGGGTCCACTCGGCGATCGGATCGTTTGCCCACGCGCGCAGCGATGTCCTCACCGCCCGAGGAGCGTGGAGAGATCGCCACGGAAGTTGATGACGACCGATATGCGGTTGACACCTGGCACCGCTCGCTGATGAACTGCTACTGCCTCGGCCAGTACCACTGTGTTGGGCCGGCCCACGATTTTGAACACCGCCGCTGCATACACGCCTTCCGTACAGAAAAAGTGCGCAAGCCGCTGAAGATCTAGACAGAGGTGGGGATGATAGACCTGCCAGATCGTTAATCGATCATGGGGCGCAAGCGCTGCTTCGCTGAGGGCTCTCTCCTCCAAAAAACTCATGGCGATGGCGATGGTGACGGGGAGGCAGAGAGGGAGCGAGAAAGGGAGAGAGATGGCGGAGAGTCCGAGCCGTCGTCGCCAGCTTCCTCAGAAAGAGAGATCGAGGGAGAGGGAGAGGGAGGCAGAGCAGAGGGAAGGAGGCGAAGATAGGACACGTGGCGTGTGATTGGATGAGCCGATCGACTGACTGAGACTTCAGGGGCGAGGCGCACGGTGTCCACGCCGTTTGGGCCGAGCTCGATCACGCGATATCGCCCGAAGAATCGTGGCGCTAGCTTACCCTGGCGAGCACATTTCCTCACCTGCACCACGTCCCCCAATTTCTACTGGGGCCGCGGACCCGCATTCCCATTTTGGGCTTCGTAGCTCCGGACCTGTCGGCCCTGGGCTAGTTCGGTCATTTTCTGTCGCTTTCGGGCTAGCCTGGGCAGCGACCGTTCCATTAACTCTAGGTGGCGTTTGGCCTTGTCCCGAGCCATGGCCCTGGTGGGACGTCGGTTTAATGTAGTCTCATCCGGGAGGCTCGGTATCGAAACGCAAGCAACACTATTGGTCCTTAATTGGAAGGGACTTAGCCCCGTCGATTTGTGGGGCGTTCCGCGATGGACCGCCAGGATATGATCGACGATATCGGGCCAAGGTCTTGAATCCTGTGTCGCGATGTTTCGTCGCAACGCTGTCTTTATCACTCGGTTAGCGTTTTCGACCAGCCCGTTGGACTGTGACACGTGAGGTGCAGTGTTCCGTATGGCGACGCCGTGTAGGACCAGATTTCTTAGCATTTCTCCCCTGAATTCAGCCCCATTGTCGGTTAGGATTTCCTCCGTATCCTGATGCACCCCGAGGAAACGGTTGACATATCGCGCGATTTCCGTGGCTTGCCGCGTGGGACAAAGATACTCGTCGATCCATTTTGAGAAATGGTCGACAAATACCAGTAGGACTGAATACTCGCAACTATTAGGGCCAGGGGGCACTACTATGTTGGTAGTGTCCATGCTCACTCTTTGAAATGGCCGTTCAACAACCGTGGGCACTATCGATCTTGGCGGATGAATCGGCGCTTTATCAGCGGCGCAGACTTGACAGTTGGCGACGATGTACTTCACATCGTCACGGATATTGGACCAATACTACTCATTTTTGTCAATAGCGGACTCCGTGATTCGTACGACAAAATGAGCCGCAGTTTCTTCGTGGGCTGTCTTAACCCAGTCATACCGCATGAACGGATGCGGCACTACCATCCAAATCCCACTACCGTCCGTTTTCCGTTTTTCTAATTTACCCTTTACCCATCGATAATCCCGAGCCCTTTCGTTGGCCCTCCTCCGATCTTTTTTGGTGAAATCCCGAAGGGGGTTACCTACTAGGGTGACAATTAAGGCAATATCCGTCCATACTTCAACCCTTCTAAACTTTCGGGTCTTTTCCAATCCTTCTGATGTGGCATCCAAAAATCGAGCCTCGGTAGGAATCTTGTCGGTCCGGCACAAGGGGCACAACCATGGTCTTCTTTCGCTTCTGTATTGGATGCACGAGCCATGGGCTCGTGCAACACACTGTTGGCAATCTATCCAATCCGCATACCCCTCCCCGTTAGGACGCATGGGGACCGAATATACGCGGGAAATAGCTTCGCAAAAATAGCAAAATTTGTCGGGCAGGGAGAGGAGAGACGAAGAAGAAGGGGGAGAGAGAGGGGTAGTGGGATTACCTCCATCACCCATCGTCGCCGTTTTACTTCTTGCCGCGTGGAAGAACTGCTACTTGTCCGTATTTTGGCTCGTTGGTCAAATCCGGTTCCTTCCACGGTGTAATTTCCTCACCCTTTGGTACCTTGGCAAGACGGTGCAGACGTGTCAGCCCGTCCGCGTTGCCGTGTCGCTCTGTCTTTCGATGGACGATATCGAAGTCATATTCTTGTAATCGCACCGCGCAACGGCCAATCATGCCCGTGTAGTTGGTGAGTTTCTTCAGCGCCAGCAGAGGCTCGTGATCCGTTACCAGGCGAAACTTCTGTCCGTAGAGATACGGATGGAAGTGTTGGATTCCCCAAACTACTGCATAGCACTCACCCTGAGGTGCGGAGTCGTTTCTTCGTTCGCCCGGTACGGTTCGTGACGCATACTCGATGACGTGTTCGCGACCATCTTTCCCCTTCTGTGCTAAAATAGTGGAAATAGCTTCCTGTTGCCAGTCCGTGATGAGAATGAACTGTTTCGAGGGGTCCGGTCGAATCAAAATAGGGGCCATTGCCAGAGCGTCCTTGAGAGTTGCAAAAGCCTGCTGGCACTCCGCGTCCCAGCTGAGGGGCTGGTCCTCCTGTAACAAATTCGTTAGTGGTCGTGCAATCGCGGCAAAGCCCTTGATGAAGCGCCGGTAATACGACGCTAGTCCCAAGAAGGCTCGAACCTGCGTCAGTGACGTGCGAACCGGAGCTTCCTTCACCGCCCCAACTTTTCTCGAGTCTGGCCGCAGTCCTCCACGTGTCACGACATAGCCCAAGAATGAAATTTCCGAGAGGAAAAGTTCGCTCTTCTCAAGCGCAATTTTGAGCCCCGCGTCTCTCAATGCACCCAATGTCCATTCGATGTGTTGCGCGTGCCCGTGATAGGTTTCCGAGTAGACCAGGATGTCGTCCATGTACACGATCACGCAAAAGTTGATCATCCCTTGCGTCAGCCGTGTCTTGTTGATGGAGTTATGGAACGTCATGTTCATCGCTCGCTGAAATGTGGCAGGCGCATTGCAAATCCCCATCGGACACCGAACCCACTGCCACGTGCCCTCAAACAACACAAAGGCCGTTTTCGGTCGATCTTCTTCCCTTACCAGAATATGATGGAAGCCATGCCGAATATCAAACTTGCTGAAATAGTTAGCGCACCCAATCGCATCCAACAAATCATCAATCCGGGGGAGGGGATACACATCCTTGATCGTGATTTCATTCAACTTGCGATAATCAATGCAAATGCGAATCGCCCCGTTTTTCTTCGGCACTAATACTACGGGAAAGGACCAAGGTCCGGTAGCGGGTTCAATCCAAACACTGGCTTCGAACTCCCGAATTCGTTCGAGAGCCTTTTTGCGTTCAATCAAGGAATACCGATAAGGTTTGCAATGAATCGGGGAGTGATTTCCTGTTTGAATTTCGTGTTGGATTACTAATGACAATCCTATGTCAGTGTCTGACACACTAATTGCTCCTTGGTATTCCGTTAGAATATCCGCAATCACCTGGTGGATTTCATCCGGCACATCCGACACATATTGTGGAACGTGCAGTTCAAAAAGATGGTTTCATATCCGAATGTCAATCAGTTTCGTGTTCGCCTATTTTGTGAAGTCCGGTGGAGGCGCCGAGATGAATGAATGATCCGATCGCTAGGAGGAGAACACCGTGGCCATCATCTGGGCATCTTCTTCCCGGATTGCCACGTGTCCTTCCGGGGTAATCCCGTCACAAACATCCTGCCATGGCACTTCCTTGGTTGCAATCTTTATCCCCAACCCATCTGTTTCTGCTTCAAAACGCCCAGGGGGTTCCAGAGAGCTTGCTTCCGCCCCCAAGCGTAGCAATCTCACTACTTTAGCCATTGTTAGTAAAGACCTAGGTAGTTCCGTAATGTCGCAATAATGCTTTTTATCGCTATACCTCACGAGGAGAGGGGTGATCCCTTCGTACAGAGTTTGAGGGGGTTCCAAAGACTCGACCATCCTCGAAATCTGCACGAGGGGCTCTCCCAAGATCATCGCCTTGGTCCTTTGAATTTTTCGGCTGGTCAGTTGCATCGTTCTCGCTATCGTTTTGAGCGACGGGTAATAAACGCGTTGTCGTACCAATTTCAAGATTTCCGGATCATCTTCATCACTGCTTTCCGCATCATCAGTTTGATGGCTCCCCTTCTGCAGGTTTGTCCCAGGAGATCATGCGGAGAGTCCCCGCCATCATCGGCGAAACCCGCGGAACCGCGTTAATAGTAGTGCGAGGAGTCAATCGCATTGGCACCGCGTAGGGTTTTCCTCCTGTATTTTGGAGGACGATCGATCGTCGTTCGAAATCCAGGTTTGCTCGTAATGCCACAAGAGCAGGAAGTCCAAAAAGAACGTCGTACGTATTAACATCTAGTACTACGACATCCCCAAGCGCGTGTACTTTTCCTAATCGGAAGGCGACATTGGTCATTCTCCCCACAGTTTAAATCTTTTCCTCATCTGCCGAAACGAGCTGATCTTTCCCAGTGAGCATTATCAGGTCGTTTTTCCTACCGGCTCTTTCGACCACTCTTAGTGAGATAGCCAACACAGCTGCTCCTGAATCTATTATCGCGTTGTAAGGAATTCCCCAAATTTCAATATCACATTCCGCGGACTTCCACGGAATCGGTTTAATCCGTAAGAAGTGATCGTCTTTCTGAATTAATCCCACCCGTATTGGATCCGGAGTGCTTGTTGGGTTTTCTTCTGGCGCGGGGCCCTTGGCTTTGGCACTTGATGTTCGGGCGAGGGCAAATCACTTTTGGTTTGCTTTGCAAT